ATCAGACATTTTGACCTTGACTACAAGGTGTCCAGTGTCCACTTCTCAGGAGGTAATTGACGCCATTTGGCCAATCAGACTGTATTATTTATCAATCAAATGACTTGATTAGAAGTACATGCAAAAGCTATTTCTACTCTAACTCCTCTTTGTGACAGGGCTAGGTAAACACTAAAACCAGCAATTGTATAAAATGTGTTTTATTCAAATTGTTATCTTCCATTATCTTCCATTATATTTTCCATGGGAACAAAGGTCTTTTTTGTTTGTTTTTCTGAGTACAGTTGAATATTTCTTGGAACATGCAGCTCTCCATAAATAAGGCAAACAAAAACCAAACTAAAACACACACACACACACACACACACACACACACACACACACACACAGGGAATAATATTGCATTTTCTCTCTTTAGGATCATCCCGGTTTCATCTGATTTAAATCTTCCATAAACTTCATCCTATCAGGAGAAGGTGCTACATTCACTGTCTCGAACGTAACAGACAGAATCATACATACTATAAAGGTGATGAATAGGAGAGTCTGTCAACAGCTGATTGATTCAAGAGGAAGACCAGGCACAAGCATGGAGGTGTGTCAATTACTGATGTGTGACATGCCGTCTGTCTCCACGTCAGATCACCCTGAAAGAGTAACCTTGTGACAGCTGTGCATGAGAGATTAAGAACAGGCAGCACCAATCAATTTTAATTAAAGCTGTATCCATTGTGTTGGCAGACATCACAGAGTGGAGCTCCTGCCCTCCGTAGATAAAACACTGCTCTGTGTCCCAGACTTATTAAGGCCAAATAATTGATCACACTTAGTGTAATAGCAACCAGACTGAGTAACTCATCTGGATGAGCTTCTAACATACCAAAGTAGATCATTCAAATCCAGAAATACCCATAGAAAAACAGAGGATATGGTTTGGCAGAGCCTCAAAAGAAACATTTTGGCATTATTATCAAGGCAACTGGAAGATTCAACTTTTTAATTTCTAAACTGACCCACTGACAATGTCACCTACTACAATACATTCATTCATCAACAGAATTAATTAATGTCAAAATTAAATGAGGTTTTCCTTCTGCAAAAGCCTCTCCTCTTCATTCAGGGCATTATGAAATCTGTATCTATCACACTTCCAATGTAAGCCATGGGTGAGGAAATTCGAGGTCCTTGATATGAGCTAAAGTTTTGGTGTTCTCTGCTAAAGGATTATCTACAACATAATCATATAAACTCAAAATTAACTCATTGATTTACTGTCCGTCCCCTGAAGCTCATGCATGCAAACAAAGAGGAATATTACAAAAAAAAAGATAATTGCTAATATTACATTCCGATCATTTTTGGAAAGCATTTTTGCAAGTAAAAAACAATTGAGAATTCTGTCCCTCAGAGTACTGAAATACCTTTAAGGATCTTTTGATGGCCTGTATTAAATGGAAGATTCATGGAAAGCCTGTGAACCAATATTGTTTAAGGCTGTGTTCAGACCCTCAGTGTCAAACAAGCGAAACCATCTTTCTAAATTTAAAGCCAGTTGATCACCCCAGCATGTCAAAACAACAACTGTTTGCCTTATAAAACAAGTTCAACTATGACGCTAGACTTTAGCTGTAACTGTTAAATAACATTGGCCAGTCAAATGTATGTCAGGGCACTATCTTGTTAGATCACTCTGTAACCCCACAGTGTGATAATAAAGGTGTTAAAATAACAAGAGAACTGTCTTTCAGTTTTTATTGATCTGATGAACCTTTAAAAACATGAACTTATTTCCCAAACTTCCATGGCTCATATTCTCTTGTCTCACTGATTCCTTAAACCAGTGGTTCTCAACTGGTGGGTGGGGACCCAAAATCTCATCAATTTGGGTCACAATTGCTTATTAAGGAGGTGTGGTGGGTCCTGAGGAACCACTGCCTTAAACAACCATTTCAACCAACACAGCACCTCAAGTTGTTTAACCATACGGCTGTTTGATGATCCATCCAAAGAGTATGCATGTCGAGGGATTAACCTGAAACTACAGGCCTAATTTTGTGACATGTTGGTGGGGTGTAGAATGGGCCAAGGAAGAACCATTACATTGTGATATTACTACTAAGAGCATTCTCTATTGATATCAAAAGGAAACCCTTGTGGCCTTGACTGCAGCGCTCACACACAAAAAAAAACAATTAGACTAAGTAGATTTGAAAAAACAGCAATAACACAGAAGTAAATAACACCCGTATGGGTGAATATTTCTTTGAAAACACATGTTGATCACAACCAAGAATAATTGTATTACACACCTCTCTCATGGGGGCAGGAGTTATTGTAATGAATAATACTTAAATAACACTTTACAGGTAACAAAGTGCTTCACAACAGACCATAACAGCAAACAGACTAGTAGTAATAAGAGATTAAAAATAAAAATCACAGAGTAAAAGCTTTTGTTGTAAAAGAATGTCTTGAGTAGAGAAATAAAACGAGCGACTGACTCTGCAAGTCAGATCTTTTCTGGCAGGCTGAAAAGCCCTGTCCCCTTTAGTTTCGAGCTTGGACCTTGGAACAGTTCAGAAATATACAGAGGAGATAGCCCATGTTGCTCTTAAAGCAAAGTTAAAAGAATCTTAAAATTAGTAAGATCCACAGGCAGCCAGTGTATAGACGCTAACATTGGAGTGATATGGGCACATTTGTTTATCTGGGTTAAAAGGCGAGCTGCTGCATTTTGGACTGTTTGAAGGCGGTGGATTGATTTTTGACTGAGACAGGTGTACAGTGAGTTGCAGTAGTCGAGGAGGGAGCAAATAAAAGCATGGATGAGTTTCCCCAGATCTTTTGCTGACATGAGGGATTTCACCTTGGCTATATTTCTGAGATGGTAATAACAGGACTTGACAACTTGGCAACCTCACTGTTACTATAAGAAGGTTAAAAAATGTCATATCCATGTTCTGCCTGCCCACATATCAAAAATAAGCAAACAGGAAGACTGATACTGTTCTGCTTTTTTTTTCTTTTTTTTTTTTTTTAATCAAAGCACCTTCTCTGGATTATATTTCGTCTTCTTTCGTCTTGTGACAAAGCGGTGCTGCTCTGCCTCGCTGATCACCACCCTGACATATTGGAGTTGGGCTGCCCCTAAATGGTGGAATTTTCCTCCTAAAAGCCCAAGTAGAGAAGTCAATTACACTGTAGGGGGGAGACACTTTCTGCTCCCTTCTTTTCCAACTGCAATTTCCTTTCTCTTGCAGCAGAAAATGAATGTCCAATGGCCCGGCACCATGTTTATCTCTGCAGTAAAGAAAGGTGTTTTGATTGGTCTATTGTTTCAACAATTGAGCCTTAGGGAGACATTTTTGTGATCTCATCAGGAAATAAGGAAGTAGACACAGCATTGTTTCATTTATATAGAAACAGAATACAAACAAGTTAAGGTTCAAATGAAACTTAAGTGCTAATAGGATTTGAAACTGTAGGATTTTAGTCAACATCACACAAATTACATTACTTTATTTTAATTTGCTGCTGTGTAAAGCCAATAAATGGATGGCTCAGGAACACAACAACACTATCATTTCAACCTGATATCCATGATATAAACAAACTTATTTACACTCCAGCTCCAGGGTCAGTAATGACCTGAGGTATTTGGTGTTGTGTAGAATAAGATAAGATAAGATAAGATAACACTTCATTGTCTGTTTGCACAGAAATGTGTCTTGCATTTCAAGCTCAGAAATCCTCACATCCCAATCAGATCAGATAACACTCAGAAGACTGAACATAAAAACAGCATAATGCCAACCCACTGATATATCCGGATTACTTTGATTGCAATGCAGAGCAAAGATTACAGAACCATCATGAATGATTTAGGTATATTTGTACTGACTGGACCCAGGATGGCTTTCCAGTTGAGGAGGCAAGGCATGAAAAACAGGTATGAGAGTCTGACAGTGGAGGAGGGCAGAAAGTTCATCTGAAATTCTTTGGAGAGTTTAAAAAAAGATGTTCCGTTTTTATTTTATACTAAGATGTAAATGACTGCTACAAACATTTCCCAAAGTGTTAATTCAAATTGATCTATCCCCCTTGTGTTGTGAATAATTATTCCTTTAAATAACCAATCAATTAATTCAGAAGTGTAGATTTTAAACCTGTTATTGGTTGTCTATAATGGTGTCAATAAAAATGCATCTATATAGAATCGCTTTGTTTCTTGTTTACCCAATATGGCTCAATCCCACAGCAACATCTTGTGCAGTAAAAAAATAAATAAATAGCATATAGACCTAGCTTGAAAACAGTTTTCCTGTTGCACACATAATTCCTCCCTGATCCTGACTGCATCACATAACATGCAAACAGTTTCTATAACATGTACAAACAGCAGGCGGGCAGCATTTGTCTCTTGCATACGTCCTGGCTGACTTACTGTCTGGAACGAGCTATAATCAGCTGATCACATCTCTGGCCACCTATTACAGTCCCTTTAAAGCCACAGGTGTCTCGAGGTGAGGATGTAGTGAAACCCAGATTTCCTTCAGCAGAATTTGAGAAGCAGGAAGTACAAACACCGCACGGTTTCTATGCCTACGCATAGTGTAAGAAGAAACACCCACAAACATGCAAACACCTACAAACACCCACATTAAGTATAATTTGTAGGAAAACTCAGCAGGCTGCTTGACCCATACCGCATGCACAAATGGCATTGACTTAACCTAGAAGGCTCTATGACTGTTACACACCGGTCAAAGTGCTAAATCTCATTTAAAGCGATATGGATTATTTTAGGTGCATTCAGACTGTCGCTGTCCATGGTATCTGTTTGTATTCCCCTTGATAAACATTAAAAAAAGGGCTACATTAGAAATACACAGTGAACAAGTAAGCATGCAGCAGATGGTTTGCACTAATCTCCTCTAAGTCGAACTGTACGGCATTAACTACTCTTCTCATCTTGCCAATTACAGCAGCACGTTACTTACTCTTAGTGATCTTCTGCAGCCCCAGCACATCTTCGGGCGTTATTACGGTATTTCTGCGCAGTTCTTCTTCAGTAGTTACCGGGATCCCCATGTCTGATGAGTTGCAGCCTTGCTGCACTTTCATGTCCAACAGAAGAGGGGTCGGATGGGTGCGCAACCTGACGGGAGCTGAGCCTTTCTGACGCTCTCGGCTTCGTCGCCGCAGGAGCTGCTTTAGTTGCGTCGCAGCCTTTAGTCGCGCGCTGGCTACACCGTGTAGCAAACAGGCTCTGTGCTGCTACAAGAATAACTCATTCTCCCCTGCCTCCTCCCCTTCTCGATCCGGTAAAAGATAAAAATCAGCCCTCAGCTCCCACCCTCCCGCGCTCGAGGCTCATCGGCTCTCTCACAAGCTATTTAATCCAAATCCGCTGGCTTTAAACCGTGCGGTGCTGCGTGCGTGGTTGACAGTCTGCGCGCCTCGTCATCTGCTCATACAGCAGCGCGTGCATGGCTGGGCTCCACACACAAACTGTATTTGATCACTTCACTCACCCTAAAACTAAAACTAAAGCTGAAATGAAACATAATTTGTTTTTGGTCTGGTATAACTCAACAGGGAATCATGTGTTGTTGTTTATAAATGAGAGTATTTATCTCTTTTGCCACTTGGGGGCAGCAAAACAACCAAAATACGATATTGATGTAGGCTATTTGTTACCTTAAAATCTTGCTTACTGTCAATCACCCATTTAGCAGACGTAGAACAAAGACAATTTCTGGATTTTTACCCCAATTTTGAATCTGCAGCGGCTCTCCTGCTTTGTAAATAGACTATTTTGTTTGGTGATTGGCAGGCAATAGAGATTGGTTTATCCTTTTTTTTGTTATTACTGAAAATAGCTGCCAGATAGATCTGGAAGTCAATTAAAGTTGTGCAAATGCTTTGTGCTAAAAACAAAACAAAACGCAATGAGCTGAAGAGGCTAAAACAGTCAACAGTTGAGTTGGGTAGCCTAAATCATTCTCTTTGGACTATTTAATACAAAGTTACACATAGCCATTTGATCCATTTGGTTAAAACAAATCACCATCAACTAAATTTATTACAGCATTTATTATAATACCTTTTATGATCTTTTGGGAAAAAAAATGAAAAAAATAGGAAATACGACCATTATTCAACTTTAGAGTATTTTTATTTTGCTTTTCTTCAATGGAAAGTTGTTCCAGATGCCAGCATCCCTGAGAAAGTGTCAAATGCAAATCTTCTGGACAACCCCATCAGCAATATGATGTTCACATCTGCTCAAAACACAACCCTGCACAGCCCCATTTCTCCGGTTTAATGACAGACTGGTCTTTCCTTGAAGTGAGCCTTTATGCTTTGTGATGAGGAGACAGCGCCTCACTCTGCCTGGATATCATACTGCAGGGCATGTGCAGAGCTGAGAGCTGTCCATGGTAGAACTCTGTGAGAAAATATGTGATTTTTGTACACCCCTTTACTCTCAGTGGATCCCAGGAGAGCAAGAGAGCGCATTTGAACAGGCTTATTGGCATCATTTCAGCTTGAAACACATTGTAAATGAAATTAAAATGAAATAAAAGGGTTATAACTGCATTGAAACAAACTAATGAACACAAACTTTAAGCTTTCATAAATACAGTAAATCCTAGCATCCTTCTATGAGGTCTGTAGACAGAGAGCATTGCTACCAATTTTACGGTATTTACAAGTTTGTGACAGTCCGAACTTCTCATAAGAATCATTCACGAAGCCACATACTCCTACCAGTAAAAGCAATAACAATGTTCAAAAGCCATTAGCAGGTGTGGCTAAGTGGCTGTTGAAGAATTTCCAGGGGATGGTTAGCAGCGTGGTGAGCCTGACCCCTTGCTATTCCCTCCTGTAAGCCCACAGTGTGGCGGACTGTTATCTATGCGGTCATCTCGAAGCAGCCCCTGCGGTGTGTCTGCATGTCTCTCACCCTGCGGATGGACTGGATCTGGGGGTGGTGGGCTCCCCATTCATTCCAGTGCTTAAAAGGGCCCATTTCGAACACATACTGGAAGCCACGATAGCCAGGGTACTGGTAGCCCACCCAGCTGAGTGGGGGAAGTGGAAAGGAACACATGTCAGAAACTTAACCTGTGTCCCCGACTAATACTACTATATTATCACTTAAAGGAAGCGAATGATGAATGAAGCTTAAATCAGTGTCTGAACTCTGACTTTCTGATAACAAGAGACTTCCAGCTAGTAAGAAACCTCAGAGATTCGATTCAAACAACTTACGTTCCACCGGTGACCTGAATACTGGCGACACGGTCCTGGAAGCCATAAGACCACAGGCTGGGAATGTCCTCATCACAGACTTCCATCTTACGGCCCTCAAAGTTTGGACACTCGTACAGGCAGATCTTATGGTCCTGGGCATCCTGTAATATCCAAACAACACTCTTTTAAAGTGAGTAAATGTTTGAATTTTAATTTATTATTGCACACATATTACAACAAGACCAACACAGGCCCACAAGTCAGCCTTATTTTGGAAAAGAGACTTGAAAAGGAGAAACATTTGTCAATTATTTTAAAGAAAAATAAACGTTCTGACATCAAATTTTCAGCTCTAAAAATGAAGCGTACAATAAAAACAAGCATTCCATATTGTTGTCATTGCACCAAAACATGGCAAAACTGTCAGAAGTAAAGGCCAAACCTCTGCGGCGAATAGATTATAGAGTAATGAGCCTTTTAATAAACATATAATTGCAACCATAAAACACACTTTCTCTTGTGTAACATATGAAAAAAAGGTACAAATGGATCATGATAACAGGGACAGAAACACATGCTTGCAGAAAAAGAAGACACAGAAAAATACCGTCAGATAGATCCCAACTCACCATCTTCACAGGTCTAACTGACATGAAGCGGTCACACCTGTAGCTGTTGGACCAGGTGTCCCAGCGGGGATACTCTCCCTTCTCCAGAATGAACATCTCACCGGTCAGGTTCTGCTGCTCATAACCGACCCAGCTGTATAAACACACATCCAGGCAGAGGGATATTCAAATTCTAAATATCTAGACATATTCAAACATATGTGGTTTGGCAGTTTCAGCGACTTACGGTCCACACTCGACCCTGATGGAGCCAATTTTGTCAAAACCCTTCTCGCAAAGGTTACGACACTCGCCGAACAGGTCCATCCTACGACCCTGGAAATTCTCATATTCATAGAGGTATATCTAAAAAGTAAAACAATGTATCATTCAGTTATTTCAGAAGTCAATTAGTTTCATAACATAATTAATTTTTTTATTCATTTTTGTGTTAAAAACAAAGAGTTAATGTACCTTATGATTGCGCAGACCAATAGCAGAGTGGCTGCCAATGCTGCCCTGGGCACCTGAGTGAGACATGATCAGATCTAAAGAGAGAAGAAGCACAAATTCAGAGATCATTGTTGGCTTATTAAGAGGGAGTCTCTAGAAGTCTCCTTCAGCTAAGCAAACTTTTAAATTAAACTAAGGTCCATGGGACTATTGGTGTTTCAAACACCTCGAGTAAATATGTGCTAAAGCTTTTAAAACTCAATTAACAGAAGCTCACTTTGAAATGTAAGTGTAAAGACAGTACTTTTAGATGTTCTCATCTTAAAAAACTACATTGGCACATTTCTTTGACCATAGAGTTTAAAATTAACGTTTTTCTTAAAAAGAAAACAAGTTCTTCATACAATATCTGATGTTGATGAAGCTTTAAAATGCAACAGGAAAAAATGCATCTGTACTCAATGAAAGTCTGAATGTGCATCCTAACTGAAGAGTTAGAGAACCTACAGTATTGGCAAAGTTGGAAATCTTCACCTCTGAACAATATCAGAATCATTGAGCGCTGAGGTCGATTGTGTGCTCTTTTGCACCTGTGACCACACCCAACCCTGATTCCACTACATCACTGCAGCAAGCTGGGATCAAGTAGAAGTAGCACTAGAAGTATTTTAAAGGCTGTTGGGAAGTAATTTCCTTTCTTCCTAAATTTAGATCTGAAAAGTGTAAATTAAAAAAAGATGCACATTTCTACTTAAAACAACGTTGTCCTTTGAAAACAATTTAGTTACGTTTCACTGAATGCCATTCAATGTTTTATTTGCTTATTTTTATCCTCTCAACATTTTTTAAAACATTTTTTACTGAGTCTTCCCTCAAAATAGTGTTTGCTTTGTAAATTTCATAGTACATCCTGAAAATGTGTCCTTTCAGTGACTGCAAGAAAAATCAATAACCATCCTCATACAGTAATGCATTATTTGTTTCAAAGCTGCATGATCATTTTTTTTTAAGGCTAAGGGTAAGGCTCACCCTCCATTTTGTCTTATCTATTCCACCAATTGAACATGAAATCATCTGTAAACAGAAGATTACAGCGTGCAAAATGTTCATGTCAAAATCTTGTCAAACTCAGTCCAAATGTTTAAGTGTGAGTAGACAGGAAAACCACAAAATCCGCCACAACACCCCCTGACTTTAAAAGTGATTCAATAAAGAATACTTTAAAAGTTAAAACTTACAGTTACAGCAGCAGACTGAAATGGACCGACCTTTGGAGAAAGTGATAGACGCAGGCTTTTTCAGTAGGGGTATATATACATTCACATTCAACCCGCGTGCATACAGGCTGGATCCAGACTTCTCATTGGCCAGGAGCTGTTTGGAGCATGGTGCGGGGTCAAAGGTCAGGCTGCTTATCAGTAGACTAGTCGCGCTGACTCGGCTGCATGTTTTGTTGTCCAGCACCATTGTAGACGGGGGGGACCAGGCACAGTCACTGCCATCAGCAGAAAGTTCGGTGGCTTTCTACACACACACACAGAACCCACCCCTAAAACACACACACACACACACACACACACACAGATACAAACATACTTTACTTTTACAGATTTTTCTATATTTTCTATATTTTCTCCCATTTGATCCAACCTGTCTTTCACTCTCATATTCTCTCTCTCTTTATGTTCATGCTGGGTGCAGGCAGGTCAAGCTTTTGAGCCCTGCGTGTGCAATGTGCTGACTGCAGGAGTGACATCCATCCCTCTTTTGTTTCCACAGGCAATGTTGGACACGCTTTTGCTTATCGAAGCGTTGGAAGGGCTGTATCCATACACGTCCAACATAACCCTACATACACACTCATGTCGTGCCCACATGCAATTGTCCATGCACCATGACCCACACGCACCATTACAGTAACCATGTGACCAAAAGCCACACATATGTCAAATTCTTTTTTAGATTTATAAGCAACATGGAAGAGTTTCAAGAGAACCAACTTTTTGTTTGACCTTTTCTATGTTCTAAAAATGAATTCCATCAGGAGGGCAAGGGAAGAGTTTTTATAGCGCACCATTCATACATAAAGAAATGCTTTGACAGAGTTAAAAACAAAGCATTAGAACATGAAAAGCCATATGGAATGGTGCAAAAGATATAAGATCAAAGAGAAAAGAAGAAATATGTCATTAAGCAAAAATATTGAAACAAAATATATTAGAATATATTATCCTCAAATTTGGCAATTAAAGATTAATAATCTGCTCTGAGTGCCTGTCAGTATTATAGTGCTCTTAAATCCCTGACCTCACAGTCACAGTCACAATTCCTGACAGACACAGATTTACTTATTGGTTTTGCTGAGTCAAAATTGATTTCTTTTAATAACATCCCCCTCTAGAACTTCTTCCCAAGGAATTTAGGCTCACAGTTTTCTGTATGTGTGTGGCACAGCCCCTAGCTGCCCTGGCAACTACTAGTAGGGGTGCTGTAGTGGCTAAATCAAACCATAGCACACCTTAACACTTCAGCCAATTTTAACTGAGATGCTTTAGACATATTGTAACTTATCAATTATTCTAATATTCTTATCTACTAATTTTCACAAGATCATCTAGAAATTGACACACTTTTGTGTGTCATCTGTTTAAGTATGGTAAGAGACGTTATGATATTCCAAAACTCTGCAAGCAGCAGCATGTATATATAAAAATAATTGGTCCAAGAATGGATCCTTGGGGAACACCACATGTTATTATTCTATGCTCAGATTCATAATTACTGAAGAACACAAAATAGTCCCTGTAATGGAAATAGGATTTGAACCAGTTCAGTACCAGAAAGTTCTACCCATCATTCCAGTATGTCAAGTAATATGTTAATTGTGTCAAAAGCAGCATTGAAATTCAGTTAAACTAAAACTTTGACTTTTTGAACTCTTCAAATTCTACATGAGTACATAGATGCACAGTTGACATAACTTTTTTTTAACCCACAAATGGAATTAGAGCCCATTTGTCTTGTGGTCCAGATTTTTTAAGTAAAAAAAAGATGCAAACTGTGTTGATGTTTCACTTCTAGGTTATAGATGCAAAGTCTCTCTTTATAAATCTTGGAGTCTACAGGCTCTCTACTGAGCTGTAGCTAATATGGCTTTCCTCAAGGGCGCCTTTTTCTTATCAGACAATACCCTCTTCATGGGGGCAATGTTTTTAATAACACGTATAACTCTGCAAGATACTCATTGTAAGAATAAACAAGGTCATTGACAGGGGCTGAAGGCAAAGCTGGTGTGGGTTTAAAGCCTTTGTTGAATAATACACTGGTGTATTAATTAATGCAGTATTTTTTGGTTACCTCTGTTTTGGTTCTGCAGGTGTCAGAAGGGATACTAAATAAATCACATTAATGATCTAAAAGAGCCACATCCTCCACTACTACTTCAGACATGTTTAGACCATTAGTAATAGTTAGACCTGAAGTATGCCCCTTATTACGCTTACATGTTAAGAAAGTTCAAAATTGACCATGAAATGTAAAAGTTCTTTAGTGTTTGCATCTTTGGGGTCTGAATATCAAAGTCATTTACTATGACCACAAAGTAAGAATCAATGCACACAGCAGAAATGAGACGAGCAAAATCAGCAATAAAATGTGTATTTTATTTTGGGGGCTGTATGTAATGGTTATATATATTGCACAACAGGAAGACCGAAGTGTAACAAATTTCAAAGAGACATACTTTTCATATGATAACTGTTTGCTCTGGTACACATTATTAAATGATATAGGTAGGATGTAAGGTATGAATATATTTTCATAGATTGCTTAAACCTGTGTCACTGATTTGAATGCTTGCAAAACAAATTGTAGACAAATTCCATGATAACATAGTGGCTTCTGTCTGCTGTAGTTTAATGACTATAATGCAGATGTAAGATGATGGTGGAAGGTCTGTGGGCAAATACGCACAGTCTGAACTTTTAATTGAGTTATTCGAGTGTAGAAGAAAAATCCCTGCAGCAAATGTCATCTTTTGTTTTTGCTAATACAGAAAACAAGAACAAGATATCTGACATCTGAGCTATTTTAGACATAAAGAACAGACACAGTAAGAAGAACAGAGACAAATAGATCAGTATCTCTTTTATTCTTTAGCCACAAAGAAAAAGAAACATACTTTACATACAAGAATTGTGCACCCCTACGGCTCAGTTTGAAACTTCAGGAGGAATGATTCTCAAATTTTCTGTGTTACCACCACCATATAATATAACCCTATATTCTTGCACGTGTTAGCAATACATGCTCCTGGAACTTGTGTAGAAAAGCCATATCAGGATTTTACATGACTTCTTCAAGTTTTTCTCCCCTAAGACAACACTTCAATTTGTTTCCAAAGTGAAAATGACATATATTGAATAATTTATTTTCACATTTGCAAGTCATTCATTTGGGAAGAGGTAGATCAAAGGTTGTTCAATCATCATCCAAAATCAACAACAACAAAACTTAATAGATTTAGTCATTTAATTTTCCATTATCTAAGGAAGTGTGGCTTTATAATGAGAAATTCATTTTGGAGTTTTTTTTTGTACGGCTTCGTGAACTGCTTTAAAAACTCTAAACTTTACAGTAGGCTTGAGTGAAGAGCTTTGAATACTGACATTTTGAATCAAGGCGAGAAACAAGCGGGGATCACAGCTTTTGCTTAATTCTTGATAATCGACATTTCTTTACATACCAAAAAAAGAAGGGAATTTTAGGTCTACAAAGAGAGTTTAAGCTCACCAATACACCAATTGTTCCTGTTTAAATAGATTCTGTGTGAATGTGTTGGTTCCTTTGTACGCCCTGAATGTATGTGTGACGGCAGACTTTGCATGTCCGTCTCTGTGCATGACTGTGCATGTGCATGGCTGAGCATGTTGTGCACACATACTCACTCTGGAAGGAGAGTAAAGGAGATGCGTTGCCGGATCGAGGAAGCCATGACATTCAGTTTGTACACAGAGAGCCCAGCTCAGGGTGGAAACACCTTGGTAAGTAGTTTATTTTAGTACTAAATCAGCATGTTTATTTGACAGTCATTTTCAGTGTCTTTAATGATCAAGATTTAAACAACAACAAAGAAGGCACAATATTTCAGTTTGTATTCAGACACTTTGAATGTGTTTCCATGTTTGTCTTTCCCTTTCCTTATGTGCAATGATCTGTTTCCTGGGCTAGGCTGTGCCAGGACTGGTGATCCAGCCCACTGGTCATGGACCATTTGTAACTTGTGCTTATCTACACTGGGCACGGTGCCCTCCATCCAGTCCCCCTGCAGCAAGCTAAAACCCAGAAGCTCAGAGCCGAACAATGACTGAAGCAGCAATGTGCTGACTCCTGCCCGGACCCACAGGCCCAGCTGCTTTTCAGCACCAGCATGTATAAATAGGTCCGTTGAGTCTGGGGTCAGGACGTCGTTTTTGTGGAGCCCCCCTGTGAGCACTGCACTGCTATTCTTTGGGGCGGTCAGGTAAGCCCTCCATCTGAATCTCATTCATCCTATAGATGTGTGCAGACCATTGTGGCTTTACATTATTGTGTCTTTTGTTCTTGTGTTTTCTGCTGAGCCACTTGAATGTATGAACTGAGTTCAGATATGCAAATGCTAGACAGACTGACCTAGCATAGGAAGATAAAACAGCTTTGTGCCTCCATCATCGGCATGTGTGAGCGTACAGGTAGAAAGGCTTCCAACCCAAACATACTACATGTAAAGAAAAGTGTTCTTACATGTAGGTCAAGATCTTCTCTAATGCTGTATTAACAAAGTGCATTCCATAAGTGAGGATATAGAGTATAATAGCACAGGGGCGTTTAACTATGCATCGCTTGGCTTCAGATATTCAGAATACTTTGGACTGATATTATTTGGAGCCATTAATATTTGGCTGATTATCTTTGTCTAGATTGATAAAGCAAGTAACTCAGACTCATACATTCCAACAAAGCAAATTTCAACAGGCTCCTAAATTCACTGGTTGATCATTAATAGAAATATACAAATACATGCACAAAATACAAAGTGCCGTAGATGGTCAGCAGTTAAGCGTACTCTGTGCCAGCTTGGACACAGACAAGTTGTAGACAAGTTTCAGAACTAGTTGTGTTGTTGGAGTCAAATGATCTCTTGTTTCTTATTACACTTTTCTTCTAAATACTGATCGTTAAAGTGTTGTGTAAAAGCAACATCACATTGTAGGGAGTGTTGCTATCAGAATGACTGTGATTTTCTTTTCAATCAGCCTGAGACTTCTTCCTAATTACAACTGAGCTGAAATACAGTACCACCTCACTCCCTCCTATACGTAATTGATTGATTTATTGAAAACAGGAAACACTGAATATATGCCTCCCACATGGATATTGATAACAAACATTTGCTCATTAAGACATGATCCAGCTTGCTTGGAGTTGTCGCAAGGCTGCGTTAGAACTGTGACCTTTAATAAGTCTTTGATTATGAATATAAATATGATTCCCTCACTCTCTACTCTGCAGGTAAATCAGTTTTGAGATCAACTGTAGTATGGCTCTAAATAATCCCAACCCACTGGGACCATGGAAGGTGAGTGGGATGGACTTAAGGATGCTTAACAAAAGAATAGTATATTTTTAATCTTAAATTCCTGCCTGGCCTGATGACGTCAATGATGTGTGTGTGTCTGTACACACATCAGTGTGGGAGCGTGGCATGTGCATACTACATGTATGCATTTGTGTGCTCTTCTCTAGATCACAGTGTATGACCAGGAGAACTTCCAGGGGAAGCGTCTGGAGTTCACTTCTGCCTGCCAGAACATCATGGAGTGTGGAGTCAACAACATCCGCTCTGTGAAGGTGGAGTGTGGAGCGTAAGTCAAACAAAGAACTATATTAAGGAACACTTTATAAATATGTTAATAAATTCAATATTTATTTGACTAAAGAATACAATTGTTCTGCCAAAATAGGCTCAAATAAACTATTAATGATGATTGAATTTAACCAATCAGTCAATCAAATTTTCCACCATGACTGGATGGGCCGAGAAAGATGGACAGAGGGAGAGACAGAAATAGATGGAAAGACAGACATTCAGACAGGGAGACAAGAACATAGGAAAAAGTACAAACAGCAACAACAATAATAACAGATAAGTAAGACTGTAGGCAAGCCGGCATCCACAACAACAATCCACATGAACTAGCAAGTGAAGGGATCATAAAAACTCTCTGCAAGAGATGAAGTTAGCAACATGCATCAATGTCACATGAAGGCATACAGAAAGAGTGAGAGCGAGAGAGAAGGAGAGCTGGGTGTGTCAAGTCCCCCGACAGTCTAAGCTTGGGGCAACATAAATGGGAGCTGGTCCAAGTCTGAACCAGCTCTAACTATAAGCTTTATCAAAAAATACATTTATAAACCAACTCTTAAAAATTGAGAGAGTGTCTGCCTGATTGGAATATAAATCCAAAGGAGATGGGCCTGCATGATAACTGGAGACTATACCTCCCATACTACATTCAGAGACTTGGTAGGACTGTATTCTAGGAGCATAATGTTGTTGAGGTGTGCTATGGCACTATGAGCCTTTTACAGTAAGGTATGGTGGTATCTGACCATTGAGAGCTTTGAGGATTTTAAATTCTGTTTTGGATTTTACCAGAAGTTAGTTCAGAGAAGCTAATATGGGCGATATTACATTTTCCTGGTTCTTGTTACTGTAGAACATATCATGCTGCAGCATTTTGGAACAGCTGTAGAGTCGTTAGAGACTCAATAGAGAAGCATTTTTATCGATAATTGAAGTGATTTACCATTTAACACCTCAAATGCAGTGTATATGTAATACATATTTGTAATAAATAAAGATATGTAATAAAGATCTCTCCTATTCACAAAGAAAAATAAATACTAGGCCTTATATAGCAGGTTTAGGTACGTGCAAACTGGCTGTTTTTCCAGAGTCCTAATGGCTGTGTTAATGTCCCTCTATGTCTGTGATACAGCTGGGCAGGATATGAGCACTCCAGCTTCTGTGGACAGCAGTTTGTGTTGGAGAGAGGAGAGTATCCTCACTGGGAGTCATGGAGCGGCAGCAACGCCTACCACATCGAGAGGATGATGTCTTTCAGACCCATCTGCTCTGCTGTGAGTCTCCCCCTCCAAACTGTTTCCTGCTGTCTGACTTCTGATGTGTCTCACAAAAACATTCAGAGTTAAAATGTTCTAAATTTAGAGCCGACAAAGTACCTCAAGATAATAATAGACTTTAGTGCGACATGATCTTAAATGCTATACAAGTATTTGGATATCCCAGACAAATGAGATAAATTTGGTTAAAATTCTGTATCCTTTTTCCTGACTGGAATGCTTCCTTTTAATTCTCTGAGCTTTGCAAAAATGTTTGCTCTAACTGGTTTCTACAATACTAAAACATACAGTTGATGTTTGTCTTGTCATTTTGTATCCTGTGTACACAGAACCACAAGGAGTCTAAGATGGTTTTGTTTGAGAAGGAGAACTTCATGGGACGGCAGTGGGAGATAAACGATGATTACCCCTCTCTGCAGGCCATGGGCTGGGGCAACAACGAGATTGGATCAATGCAAATCCAGAGTGGCTCGTAAGTCCCATCTTCTGAATCAACATGGAGTGATTTTCAAAGGCTTCTGCCATTTCATTAACAATTGAGCTAAATGTAAACACCATAGAGCTCATAGTATACAATTATGTGTAAAATGTGTTTCGATACACATGAATATGTTGAGACTTTACACACTTTTGTTAAATTGTAAAACTGTACTTTAAACTTCAAACATGTACAATATGCAGACAGAGAAACCATAACATAAATATTTGTCACTAAATAGCCTCAATTGATTGATATTTAGGCCTACAGCTTATTTCTTCTTGCATTTATTTTGAATCTTGCCTATTTTCAACCTAAATGCATTTAATATCATGCAGGCAACACACCCATTACCATGTAAACCACAGGCAGTATTTATCATTAATCACTGTTTCTTCTCTTCCCCAAGCTGGGTGTGCTACCAGTTTCCTGGCTACCGTGGTTACCAGTACATCATGGAGTGTGATCGTCATGGCGGCGAGTACAAACATTACAGAGAGTGGGGCTCCCATGCTCAGTCCTTCCAGGTGCAGTCGCTGCGTCGGATCCAGCAATGAGACCTGCAGCCTTCTCTCCAAACCTCCCGCTCTTTACCTCCTTCACATCCTCCACCACCACCTCCTCCTCCTTCTTCCTCCACCCAATCATTCCAAGCTTTAGCCAGCTGTATCAGATCTTAACCTACTAAGGCTGATGCTTCCTGGTGCTTCACAATTAAGATGTTTGCAGCACTTCTGTTTTGTTCTGTTGCCAAATGAGAAACAAAGAGAAAAAGCAACCGAAGAGAAGCCCCTGACTGATGCCCCACTGAGGAGAGAAGAAGAGGATGTTAAAGGCTATGTGTTGGCAAGGCAGTCATGTCACAGAGTCAGTGCTCCTCATATTTGTGGGTAAACATGGTGTGACCAGTGATCAATAAAGAGGGAACAGGCAACATGAAATAAACAGACAAACAAGAGTCTGTTGCTCTACTCATTGCTGATCAGTTGTGATTTATTCTTTGCTTGAGAGGTTTTATGATATAGGACACACACACATGCTTCACTTTTCTATTGGAGCCATTAGCTGTTATATTTTCATGCTTTTTCATGATCAACGTTTAGTCTGAGGTACTGGTTAATTATTGAAATAGTCTTGTAGTTTTCTAGTTTGAAAATCGTTAGTATATTTTAACAGATGCAGCATATAATTGATGAAAATGATGATCAAATTTGATTTAAATATTTTCACAAAAGTAGTGAAAGGGACTAGACACGGATTGAAAGCACTGATAAGAAAACATTTTCTGATGATTTTAAAATGTTTGTTTAGAGATACATTACATTCTGCATTATTTAGAGCTAACATATTTTTGGTAGCAAGTCTTTAAATAACAAAAAATACTCCAAACTTAAATCATTCAAGTGGTGTTAGAGGGTGGCATTGGGTAATATCAGTAAACTCAAGGGAAAAGGGTTCATTATGGTTAAAATCATTATAAAACTCTTCCTTATGACTCAATTAAAAAAAAAGGTTTTTAATAATGTGTAGGACATGTAATGTATACTTTGAGTAATGCAACATTAAATGGTTGGAAAAGCTCTACCCTGAGAAAAATGGTTTACGTCTAAATCAAACAGCTCAGATCATGAGGCTTTCCAGAGGATTTGAGTCATAAAACAAATATTCAGCAAATCTGACGAGTGAGTGTACAGTCTCAACCAGTCAGCTGCTTTCCCTTGACAAATAGTCCCTGGTTTGTTTAAACAAGGCTTTTTCATTTATTTACTTCCATTAAGTACATATAATGTGGCATTGCACAGCTCAGGTAAGCCAATTAAAACAAGGCAGTCTTAGATACACATGACACTGACAGAAAACTCTGATATCAGAGACCAGAGATTTATGAATATACAAATAAAGAAACAATTACAAAACTGAGGTTTATTTTTTTCCCATGGCCTATTTAAAGGTGCACTATGTAGATTTGGTAGTGCAATTTGAAAGTTGGAGAAGTGAAACAATTCTATGCTTTATTTTCTGAACTAAATACACAAACTTTATTCAAAGGAAAAAATGGGCCCCTGGAACACTGTTTGGGGCTAAAAGCTACCAGGAGAGTAACAGTTTCACTGTTGCAGGCCCTCCACCATAACTTCTCGCATAGCATTTTATCTTCAAACAGTGTTTCAGGGACCAAATTTTCATCCGAGGACAGAATCTGTAAATTTCACCAACTTTCACATTTCTCTACCAAAACTCCACAGTGCACCTTTAAATCAGCCTACTATTTTTAATTCAAAGTAATTTAATGTCAAACACATTTAGATGGTTGTCCTAGGAATTTGTCATATTCAGATTGACTAAGGTATCGACAAAGGTCCATCTTATGGGATGGATCCGTGTTAATGGCAGAAAATCGGTCAAAAAAAACAAAAAAAACAATCCAAAGTGGAACTCCTTGGATCCACCTTAAATATTTACGTCATCATGTTGCCCCGCCCCTCGTGAGGTGAACGGAAATAGATGCAAACAGGCAGGCCAGACTATCTCTGACAGCGAAAAAACCGTCTGTCGCTGGGGAGAAAAAACACTCATGAATTACTAGACCCTGTTTATTTGTTGTTGTCGTTTAGTGTAAAAGTCACGAATGGTGTCGAAGTAGAAGATAATCAACATGGTACACGCCTGGCAGCATTTCTTGACGACGCCGAAACTACGGGTGTCACTTTTCGTCTCTCTTTTCTTTCTTCTTGTCTCCCTTGGTGACGCCAGGACCCGCCGGAAACGAAGCGTCACCCCTTCAACGGAGGAAATAGTAGAAACTTACAGCAAATACTACGATTATGTTGAACTAACTGGACGGTTACAATCCCTAGCCCGGAGCTACCCTCACATAGCTGCCCTGTCTAGTGTTGGTCAGTCTGTGGAGGGCAGGGAGCTCTGGGTGATGCGGATCACCAAGGACCCCAACGCTGACGCACCGGGGAGACCAAAATTCAAGTACGTGGGGAACATGCACGGAGACGAAACCGTGTCCAGGCAGGTGTTGGTGTACCTAGTGGAGTACCTGCTGACTAAATTTGGGGAGGAACCGCGTGTTACTGAGCTCGTGGACACCACAGATATTTATATTATGCCCAGCATGAACCCTGACGGCTTTGAGAAGTCTAAAGAGGGGGACTGCAGCGGTGAAAACGGGGGTCGAAACAATGCCAAAGACATGGACCTCAACAGACATTTTCCTGACCAGTACGACGAGACGACTACCAGCCCAGATAAAACCCCCGAGGTTATGGCTGTCATCAGATGGATCCTGGAGAAAAAGTGAGTCTCCCTGGTCCTTCCAATAAACGCACTATGCAGGGTCTCCTCCCTCACAGTCCCGGCACCCACTATCCTCCCCTGTTTGACGACGTGTTGCCCTGAACACAGGCTGGAATGACTCCAGGCAACTTCACCCCAAACATGTTGATGTACATCAACAAACGGTGTGTGGGGAGAATAACAAAAGGGAATCATTTCTGTGCAGGGACACTACAGTGAGCTGAACTGAAATGACTAGTTACTTTATTTATTATTTAATTTAAGAAGCAACTACTTTGAGAATGTATTTTTGTATGCACATTTCGCATTTAAAGGTGCACATTTCAAGTGAAGGCATTGCAGACCACTGACTGCTTTATGCTATTAGTCCTTGACACAAGTCGACACACCCAGTCTGTATTGTATTAAAACTACTTATTAGCTGCAGCCCTAACTTGAGGCTCACATTAATAGATGAATAACTCAGTTTACCCTTTACATTTGTCTCTGTTGGTGCACTCATGTGGCTCATAGTAAAGTCAGCTAGAACTGCTCTCCTGGGACTCCATAGTGCTATGATGTGTCAGACTGAGGTTCTCTTGGAAGACTATAGTTCAACCCTGCGTGCACACAAATATTCAGCCCACTGAAGTGTCTCTGTCTGCACAAATCCAGGACTTATGTGTGAAAGGGGCGTCACATTTCTTTACAGTATTAATTTTGTTAAACCCAACTGCAGTGTTCTTTCTTCATAATTTCTTTGAAAGCTAGGAGAACAATTATTTACCATAATGATGTAAAAAAAACACTCACATACACGATGCACATTGAAGAAGGCCATTTTTCACTCACCATACTGTCTCTGAAGACTTCTTTGCAGCAAAGCATTCTAAAATGATTATAAGCCTATTATTAAGCCCAGGCTGCTTGATGTTGTCGAACCACACAGGCATCTCCCAAATTTAGAATCTATTTTTTGCTCAGTCCCCTACCTGCTTTAGCTTTGAAGAAACAATCTCAATGTGTTTAATTTAGCGGTCCTCTCTCTAAAACGTGCCTTTGTCTCCCCAGATTCGTGCTGTCAGGCAACCTGCACGGCGGCACTGTAGTTGCCAGTTACCCTTTTGATGACTCAGCCTCGCACCAGCGACAGGGTCATTACAGCCAGTCAGCAGATGACAGTCTGTTTCGCCACTTGGCCTTGGTGTATTCACAGCATCATGATGTGATGAAAACCGGTCAACCAAACTGTCCTGATGCAATGGAAGAAACTTTTAAAGACGGCATCACCAATGGGGCGCAGTGGTATGACGTACCTGGTAAGAGGAACTCATTTTCATTGTTTTTAAGGCCTAAATCAGTGACTGAGGACCGATTCATGTATTTAGAAGCTTTGTTGTGTCTTTAAATGAAGACATACGGATGTGGGTTTGAACCTGTTCAAGGAAACTCACAAATAAGTGTTGCGAAAATAATTCTCTCTTGGTGTTGCAACACATAAGCTATTGTGATGGAAAGATTTTCTTCCACAATACAAATCAGTCTCTGCTGATTTCAAAATGCCGAATTTACTTCACAATGCAGCCTGATCACTGTTCATACCAAAGCTGCTTAGCGGCAGAATCAAGTAGACGTATTCTTTCATATAATAAGCCCAGTAAAAAGGCAATGTAAAGCAAAGTTCAGTGGTACTATGGGTATTATTACATTTCATATTGCAGGCAGACACACACCATCATTTTTAGTCTCACACTTGTCAGTTATTGAAACTCTAAGTAGGGTGGCCTGATTTTTAGGTTGGCCAGGTGTCAAAATGCTGAAAAACTGTAAGCACTTAAGCTCAGAGTGTTAGTCTGCCAGAGCTTGCATTTACTGAAAATGTTAGAGCAGCACAACGTGTGCCATGATAGCACCCTGCTTTCCCTCTGACCAATTCTGTATACACACATGTTCATTGATAAAGTGTCTCTTAGCACCGAAATCCAAAGATTTTTTTTAAACCATGAACTGCTCTTCATTCAGGTTAAGTTGTAAACAGCTCCGGTCCTTGTAACAAAGGCAGAAACTTGAGCAGCATACTGTCTGCTTTTCTTTTGTAGCTCTGACGGGGGTGGGGGGGAGGTTGTGATATTTGCAGCATCAGGTTACTACACCGTTGTCGTAGCTGGCATTTTCCTCATGTCAGATCCTCTGCTTGTCTTATTGTAAGCGTGTTGTTTCACAGGGTATCATAACACGCTTCTCTTTTATGTGTGTTAGACTTTAAGCCTGACCCTTACCTGATTTCTTCCATTTGTCCCTTTTATACTGGAAATTATGACATTACCTTTCACACTTGTTACCACCTGAAGGAATATAGAACTATAAATTATGACCAATGCCATGAGCTCACTTTCTTCCCTAAATGACAGAACAAGTTAGCTTGTTCTTGTGCTAATCTTCTTGTGTTGAATTGTTACCAAAATGTAGAAATACTGACTACTGAATGCTATTTGCACCCCTATTTGCAAACTCATAAAGCTTGTGTACAGGCAGAAAAAGGTTCAGTACTATTAAAGCTCTTAGAGCAAGACAGGCTTTGTATCTGATAAAGACAGACTTCAGAAGGTAAACCAGGTGAATGGACAATGCTCATGTCTGTCAGACTTGTCTCATTGCTCTGAGTGGACAAAAGGTCAGTGCTGCTAAAA